CACACACACACACACACACACACACACACACACACACACACACACAAATACCTTATTATCAAAAATTTGCTTAAAAACATCAATGTCAATGTCAGTTTTATTTATAAAGCACTTTTAAAAACAGCTAAAAGCTGCACCAAATTGCTGTGCAGCAATCCACAAACATCACAAAACCACAAAAATCACTATAAATACATAAYAAATTACAACCAACAATGGTAAAAACAGATAAATTACAATGCCAGGCATTATTTTAATTAAATGCCATTGAATAAAAAGTGAATCTTATAAAACACTTTGAAGTTTTCCAAGCTATGAGCAGATGAAAGGGCAAACTGTTCTRTAGATCGGGAGCAGTCACAGCGAAAGCACAATCACCTCTTCTCCTAAATCTGGATCTTGGACCATCCAGAAGCATCTGATTTTTCTGTGTACCACTTAAGGAAGAGGTGCACAGTGTTCATGTTTATGTGATTAAATGGAGCATAAGTTGTCACAGATGCATCCCTTTAATTAAAAAGGTGTCACAACACAGCATCTGCAGAGAGACATCTATGTGTCTTCTACTTTATAAAACCTGTTTGAATTTGTAGTCCAAAAGTATAACCTGTTTTAGCTTTTTAATCTAAATTGTGTTTGGAAGACAAGTACAATCTTGAAGATTCTGTCCAACACACGTAAAGCCTCCAGGTTTGAAAATTGACACTGTAGTATTTATTTTTGTTCGTTTCTTTGTACCACGATACAAAGATGGATGAACTGCTGAACTCTTCACCAAACACGTTAGCTCCGATACAGCCGCATGAAGGAACCTCCTTACAAAAACATATCATCCGCCGTCCGCACCGATCACAACCCATTAGTGTATTAGTGTGCAGCACTATTTACTACAGACACTAAACAAAAGATTGCCCTCAAAAGTTGATCATTTTCCATTTTTCACACCTGTGCTATAATTTCCAAAAGATATCTATGTTTCCAAAAGAGAGCAACAATTGGAAGGTTTCATTGCCTCAGCTATTTATGTTTTCCACCTTAACCTGACGCTAACGGTTCGAAACAGCAAATGCTGGAGCTGCATCACACCTGTGGCTGGACTGGATTAATTCACAAACAGAATAAAGTCCTTTACAGACAGAACCAGTAAAAACATCCAAAACATGGACTTTTCCAAAGAGTTCAGCGTCCTAATTACTGAATACAGTTCTGTCATGGAGTCCCACAAGGTTTAGTTCTTGGAATCTTTTTCCCCCTTATAACTGTTGGACAAATTGTTTCTTTTCATTATTGTGCTCATAAAATACAGCTGTACCTGTCTGCTGGGGCATGTGAGCCAAATGTGGCCCACGAGAGCTTTAAAGATGCTATGTCTTGAAACCACTAGGTGCACAGGGTTCGAAAACAGCCGACTGGCTAAATTAGTTGTGCAAAATCTGTATTTTGCTGCATTTTTGTCAGCTTTTAAGAAGGACATGTTCAAACGATGTTTCTTGCACAAAATACCACATAGAGCTCAGTTATTATTTGTTAGCGGTGCTCAACCGTGGCAATGAGACAAGGAATGTGGCGTTTTAGTTGAAGTTCAATACTTTGAGGCCTTTTTCAGTGCAACCATGATGCTTTTGCGGAGTTTGACACCCCGGCCATGTTGATTTCAAATTACAAGACTGACTTAAAATATGATAAATGAAACGAGTGCTTTATTTGGACCTGAAGAGGAACACCTTTGAGTACTCCATGAGCGGCAAAAAGAGCAATGACAGATGACTTTCCAACATTCAGATTTTCGCTGGAGGAACAAGTTTTTCAAGCAGTTACAAAATGAATATGATTGTGCTCTAAGGGTGTCTACCATTACTTACATAATGATGAGTTGCATAATGTCCAGAAACAGAACATTTTGAAACATATACTCACAGAATATGTTGCGATAAAAAGCATCAGGAGAAAATGGTAGGAAAGGAGCATCAAAYATCAAACAGTTCTTTAGATATAAAGGAAAGAAGGGGGAGGTAGAGATAAATGCTATCAGTAAAAGATAAAAGTAAAAAAAAGGAAATGTGTCATAAAACCACAAACAGACCCCTGTTGCTGCATGAAAGGAATTTACAGTGGATACAAAGAACCAGCCTCCGTGCCTCTGTTAAAATGTCAGATTTTTGTGGCAGTTGAAGGAAAAAAATGTACCTATTAAAAATGCAATGAGCTGGTTGTGTAAGTGTGCACACCCAAGCACATTCTGATGTAACTACTGTCTTTATTCTTTTTAGCAACGCTCCTGTCATTGAGATTTTCAGCCTGTTTTCACTGTTTAAAGAAATCTGCCCAGAGAAGTTAACAAAAAAATCTTCCAGAATTCTAAAGAAACACTAAAAAGTATTTTCAAACGATGGAGAAAACATGGAACAAGGTTGATATTTCTGGTTCACAAAACAAGATAACTTTGCTGATTTTTGGCCTGATTTTACCCTTCAGACAATGATGCTTTGATTATCATGATGGYTATGTGGTGTGTCAAGTGTTAGGKTTTTTTTCTCTGTTAAAACTAGTCCATAAACTATCGTCATCACTCCGTCCTTGTCGGCCATGTTTATTTACTCTGAATTTATGTGGTTGTGAAAAGCAATGTTTGGGCTTCCCTGCTGCTTCAGAGACCTGAATTCTGAACATGTGTCAGTTAAAGGATGGATGGATGGATGGATGGATGGATGGATGGATGGATGGATGGACAAATGGACGGATGAGATGAAATGTGGTCAGGGAGGTTGTAGCGAGGTCTACAGCACCATTGGAGGAGCTACAGGAAATTCCAAAAGGTTCTGGCTGGGCTGAGTCCTACATGTGACAATAATCTCCTTTGTTCTCCATATGTGGGAGTAAAGTTTTATCTTACAAAGGAAAAACATCCACGCACAGCTAAATATTCCCATCATCTACTGCTTTTCAGTCAGGTCACAGAGGCAACAGGTCCAGGAGAGAAACCCAGACATCTATCTTTCCAGCAACGCTTTCCAGCTCTGCCTGGAGGACCCTGAGGAGTTCCCCAGGCCAAAGAAGACACAATCCCTGAGGGGAGTTTTGGGTCAAACTTGGGACCTCTTCCCTGGCATGTCCCACTGGTAAGAGATGCCTAAATATTACAACAAAAATACACCAGTCTCCAAAAAAAAAAAAAAAAAGGGTGGGAAAATGTGTTCTGGTTTAAATCCGAGGTTTAGCTTTTAGGGCACACAATTCCAAAAGATGTGTTTGGTGCAAGAACAAGACAGTGGATCATCTAAAGAACACCATCCCCATGAAACACGGTGGTGGTAGCATCACAGTGTGTGTTTGTTTTCATCAGCTGGGACTGGGGTTTTAGTCAGGAATGATGAAGAGGAGGAATTTCTCAAACATACAATCAAATCAACAAAAATAATGATTTTATMAAACTCTATATCACATCATATTCAAGGCCCGCAGGCCAAATAGGGCCAACCTCTGCATTTTATGTGGCCCATGAGCACTTTGAAGATGCATTGTCTTGAAATAAGTGTACACTGATTTAAAGCCAACACTGACAATAAACTACATTTGCCATAATGCATGTCGATTATTTTACCCACAAAATGACAGCATCCYACCACTAGGTGGAGGTGCACAGAGCTGTTGAAATTTACTGTGTAAAATCTTCACTTCCCTGCTTTTTCGTCAGATGCTTTTGTAGMGGCCCAGTTTTACTGGGAAGTGGGAATTTCCTTCTTAGAAGTTGCAAATTTGAACTGGAATGGCAAATGGACTGTAATTATATGGTGCCTTCCAATYAGGATACTCAAAGCATGTTACACTCTGTGTCCTCATTAACCCATTTATACAGCACTTTATTATCTCTAAGCTAACATGTACAAATCAATGTATAGAGACTAATCAGTGCTTCGAATCACTGTACACTGATGGGAAACACATCAGAGGAAGTGGGGGTTCAATGTCTTGCCCATTCCATTGTCTTGCCTCCAGTAGAAATTCCTTGTTGGAAAGTGGGAGTGTTCAGAATTCAAGACAGCAGCAACACACAGTGAGTAAAACTCTTTTACCTTACATTTTAATAGTATTTCTGTATTATTTATTTCACATTTAGTCTGTTGTACAGATAGTACTTTTCAGTCTTTTTAAGAGAACATGTTAAAACACTGTTTATATGCAGGAT